CAAAAATTATTTCATCACTTCCTTTCGAAAGCTCCAAATAGGCTAGGCTATTATGGTAAAATAGCAAACTTATATAATATCGAAACGCGAACGCCTGTACCAATGTAATGAGATTCCTGAATTGATCTCTGCCTTGCATGGGGCCACTTACCGACTCCGGCTGAATCCCTCGACACCGACCCCGCGTCCAACTCGGCGGAGTCGACGGTATCATGTCGCTTGACGCTGAGCTGACGACGCTCTCTCTCTCTCTCTCTCTCTCTCTCTCTCTCTCTCTCTCTCTCTCTCTCTCTCTCTCTCTCTCTCCTCTCTCTCTCTCTCTCTCTCTCTCTCTCTCTCTTTCTCTCCTCTCTCCCTCTCTCTCTCTGTCCCTCTCTCTCACTCTCTATGTATCTCTCTCTCTCCTTTCCCTCTCTCTCTCTCTCCCTCTCTCTCTCTCTCTCTCTCTCTCTCTCTCTTCTCTCTCTCTCTCTCTCTCTCTCTCTCCCGGCGCCACCATCTCACTGATTCCGTCGCCAATTAGTCGCCAACCCGTCCCACCCGGCGACCATGCGCTGATATAGGAGCGGCGCCGAGTCGCGCGCTTTTTCCTCCACCGACCCACGCTAAATCGGCGGGAAAATTGACGGCCGCCGCGTGCTCTGAATCGATACGCGGCCAACCCCTCCCCTTTGGCGACGAGTTGTCGGCAAACAATGTAGGACTGATGTTTCTCTGAGCTGGGGTGTGGTGACTCGTGACCCCCTCCCCCACCGCGTCCCTCAGTCTTGTTCCGCTCAGGGGTTGGGACGACTGAAGTAGTGGCGGTTCGACGAAGGGGGAGAAAGAGAAAGAGGGATGCTGGTCAGATCCAGCAGTGGCGCTCTCAGGACAGTCCTGGGGGGAGCTGAAGAGGGGGCGCACGCAGATGGCGAATGACTCCATGGTTGGTGCGGCAGATGACAAGAGTTAGATCAACTCGATCTGAAATGCTCTCAGCCCCAGTGAGTAAGAGAGCAATTGTGGTGGTGAGTTTGGAATCCAACCGGTCGTTTATGGGACATTTTCTGCTGAAATGGCGCCGTTGGATCATAGATCGATAGACAATCGCCAATGTGAGCTCTGCGGCCCGCGCCATGGTATGTACAGATCGACAATAAAGGCTGATGCCCGTGATTTGTGATTAAGCCCTACAGTCGAGCCATAACCAGTTATAACGTTAATTAATTACAGCTACAGGTATTTAATTCTGACCTGCATTGTTGCAAGAGATTAATAGATACAAAGCATAAACAGCATAATTTCATGTTGATGACACATGACTGCAGAACGGCTAGGAGTAAATTTGAGTGAAGGTCATAAATTGAAATGAAAAGAGGTAATGTTGCATAGCTCAGTAACGTCATCTACCCCACCTTGCAGACCCCGCCTTGCAGTGCCGGAAGCGGCTCCCACTCCCTCGCGTCTGCGGTGCTGTCGCGCCGGTTAATTAGAATTCTGGTCAAGTTTTGGGTCTAAGCCCGGCGTCACCCATAGTGCGGCTGACGGAGGCGGTGTCGGCCCGACAGCCGGCGACCTGTCAGCGGACCGCCGCGGTGACAGGCGCCGTCACGGCGGTGACAGGTGCTGCTCAGCCGACACGTCATGGTCCACCCAGAGAGTGATGAGTTCCTGGGAGAGCAGCCCAGGGTCGGGCAGCTGCCCCGTTCGCGTCTTAGTGAGCCAGGACTCACAGGACGAACACGTAGAACTTTGTTTTGCAGATGGGACCGCGCTGAATGAGAACCGTTGATAGTCGTCATTCGTCTGGGTAGAAAAGCAATCATTCGGTGTTTCCGTAACATTTGCAGATTCCGAATCATTTTTACATCCATATTGGGTGAGAGTAGGATATTCGTATTCCATCTCGGGCCTGGCTTCTAGCCGTATTGTTGCCCATCGAGTTGAAGAAATGGTTGGTTTCCGTAATTCCAGAGGGCTGGCAGGATGAAAACGGTGGCTGGCGTGTGTGACCGAGCACTTTTATGTTATGCAGCTGCATTGCAGGACGCAATGGAGCCGTCTGGGCCAGACCGCAGAGCTGTGCCTACTTTTCAATGACACACACTAAGCACAACCACATACCTATCTTCATAAGATATGTAATTATTGCCCATTCTCTTGGCTCATTTCGTTATTGTTGTTCAAGTAAATACTCAGATATTTCTCTAAGTTATTTGTCATCTTTTATGCCAGTCAAACAAATTTTGGATTTTTGATAATTAGAGTCCACTGTAAAGAAATGACCCGTCGCGAACGCAATGAGCTCACTTCCGCTGTAGTTTGAACCTTTTTAAGAAGACGTCGCTTGAAACTTCAGCGATATCATCTTCGGTGACCACTGAGCTGGATCCGATGCTGCTCCGGCCAATAAAACGGCCTTGCGATCCGCAGCATTATCGTAAAGCTCGCGGAGACACTGCCACATCTGATCAGAACTTGCGACGTTTGCAACTATCCTCCTCTGGCAAATAGACGAAAGTCAGATTGACGACGACTTTTGACCCCAGATGACCACTGGAGTGGAATTCTTGTTCTGTCGATTACTTTGAGATGCCAGATAGGACACGAACTGGTGCTCGGGCATTGGACAATGATAGTTATTGACTGACCTCAGTTAGGTTTCAGCTTAATCAATGCTGGGTTGTTGACACACATTTTTATTTATTGAGCATTAAAACGTTCCGCTCGACTCAGGAGCTCGCACGAATCTTTGGCTACAAATAATTATAAAAGACTTTCTTATGTGGCAGTTATACCGCCCACTGTGATCTCCGTGCTGGTCAGCGCACTGGTCATATCCCAAGCTCGATACTGCATCGCAGTGTATGGTGCTGGCACCAGACACAATCTCTCTCGGATACCAAAAAAAAATTAAACTACGCAGTAAAAGTCATTTTCGGCCGCAAAAAGTACGATCATGTCTCCGATTTGATGCCAGTTGCCAGTTGCGCTGGCTCAGCGCGGAGAACCTCGTCACCTACCACTCTCTGTGCCTGCTGCACAAAGTGCGGTGTCACGCCGAGCCGGAGGTGCAGGCGGGTAGTCTGGCCACCGTGGCGGAGGCGCGCGGCCGGGACGCTGCTGTCAGCACGAGGCAGGACACACTTCTGCACGTGCCGCGATCCCGCACGGAGATGGGCAAACGCCGGTTCACCTGCCGAGCGCCGGCTGCCCTCAACTCACTGCCATCGGATTTGCCCCGACTGCCCCCGGGGGCGTTCGGGCAACGCCTACGCAGGCATCTGCTCGAGGAGCGGAGCACTGGTAACTAGTCATCATGAGTGTCTCTCTGTATGTGTTCCCCTTTCATCTTTTCTTGCATTTTATCATCGCCTGTTTTACTGACGACGGGCAGTAATAGCCACATGTTCCAGTGGAATGTCCTAAATAAATTGTCTATTGTCTAATTAATCGTGATAAAAGCAAACGTTTATCGGCTTGCTATTCAAACAATGATTACCAAGTCATTAGCAAGTCATAGGTATTGGGTATACTATCATTTTTCATACCAGAAACTTAGATATATCGCTTCTTCATTATTTGACATCTCATAGTGGCATTGGAGCACGTGTCACCTCTCTTATCATTGGTTTATCACGTGACCTGTTACAATAGTACATGGTAGTGTACGTGTGTCTGTCATCATGGTCACATGTCCCGCACCGTTGTCGCGTGCGGCGACACCCAGTCCCACAGCAGACAGATGATCAAACGACAGACACGGGTCAGTCCTCTGGGGAGTATGTAGATTGTATAACAACTGGACTATGGATTCAATCAAACCACATGGGTGATTATTAAGGGGACGAGGGTTGGTGGGTTGGTCTTTGTTGGGAATTTTGTATTTTCTGCCTAACTGAATCAAAGAGACGCTTTGAAAGATGCGAATGAATAAATGATAGAAGAAACGCATTTATTCCTTAACCCTCGCACGACCAGGCCATTTCTCATAACACGAACGACCGGGGGGGGGGGGGGTTGTTACGACCCCCCCCTGGCGTTTCGAAACGGAAGGTCGTAGAGCTTAGCGGAAAAAACCAACGGATTGCTCTCAACGAGATATCGCGATTGGTGGTATATTTTTTGGTCCTAGGTCAACTGACCTACTTTTGACCGGTCAAAGGTCAAATTTTCGGCAAAATAGACCTTTTTCAACTTTCCGCGGCGATTGCGGCAAAACGGTGAGAGATATCGACTTGAAACCTTCACTATCGTGTTTCTTGATCAATTCTCTATCGTTTGGTATGTATTTCGTTTCCCTAGCTCTAAAAATGGTGCGTTGGGAGCGCCGGAAGTCGGCAAGGTCACAGTCGGCGGCAGAAATTCGAAAAATCAAATTTAAATTTTTCAAATCCGATTGTATTTTTGGATTTTGGAGGTCCATTTGCTCCCTATAGAAGCTAATTTTGTTGCATATTCCCATTGAGGTGACAAGAATTAGCAAAATAGTGGTTCGGGCGCTTTTCAAAAATAGTACCGGACGCTGTTCCTCTTGTGACGTCATAGCTCCGTGACCTGACCTGACCCGGTCAATTTTCTTGCACCACACGATAGCCAATGCTTGCCCCAACATGCATGGGAAGTTTCATCCTGATCCATCAAACAATGTGGGTATCACCGGCAGAAAACCTAGGGATTCGGCGCACACGTTTGGTAACTGTCGGCCGGAGGCTGTACCTCTTATGACGTCATAACTCCGTGACCTGACATGACCCGATCTATTTTTTCGGCAAAAGATGCGCAAAGGTTGCCCCAGAGGGTATTGAAAATTTCAGCCCGCTACGACAAGCCGTTTAGCGTGCACTTCGAAAAAACCTCAGGGGGGGTTGATACAACCCCCCCCCCCTAGGCGTTCTAGGGTTAACAGAATATGCCAAAGACAATTGAAAAAGTTTATCAAAAAAAAAAATAGGCTGTATCGTTCAACATAAAATACGTGGCCACTGGCCTTACTTAGAAAGTGACAAAAAAATGAGTGATAGACCCAATCATCATCTTATGCATCGGTTGACCATCGCACACTTTGCGTGCCCGTCATTTGTCAATTATTTTGTGCACGCCTCATAGCATGCCTTTCTATTTAAACAACACATTTTGATAAACACTCAATGGCGATATAAATTTCCTCAAGCCAATTAAAGTGATGGACACGACACAAGGCAAGAAAGACACGTTGCAGCATAACTGAAAGGTATTAAAACTTATACTTAGCTTGAAGCGGTGAGATAGAGACCACCAATTGAAAGCCAAGCCCGCTTTTTTATAACAGGGCCCGTTGAAATGGTTTTATAACTTCTCTTTAAGCTGTGTTGTATATTGCTGGGGATTAATTATTTCATTGACAGTACCTATCTTTAACAAGGTTTCGGCCGAATTTGGATCGACTACCAGACAAAACTAAAGGATCTTTTGACGACTGAACGTTTTAGTCTCATTCAGAGTATCAATAAAAGACTCTGACAATGGCTAGGCCGTGTGGAGCACTTGGTCTGAAGAAAGCATCTATTCCAATGTACGAGTATGTAGTTAACCAAGCATTTGAAACGTTGTGCTGCACGTAGATTCACATTCGGTACACCATCCCTAATTTACCACATAGCTGAGGGTGTTGAGGGGGAGAACAATACGACTTCTGCCCGAGGAGCCAGAATCTACTGGGTGTTTGCTTGCTGCATGTTGAGACCAGCAGCGGTCTTACGCCTAAGTCAGTGGAGCCTTACGAGTTGAATGTTTGTATTCCGTCAGTTCTTTAAGTTGTTATAAAAGGCAGGCTGACTGTAGTCGCCAAAACTTTGTTTATATTTACTTTTTACAATTAAATCATTTCAGGCGCCGATTGTGTAAAATGCACCTTTCGCACTGCTCCAAGGAACCTCAATTATGAGCACTTTGCTTCTGTAGCCCGAAGCTGAAACGAAGGTTGTTTGTCATCTGATCGGTTCGTATTACTTGCACCTACATGCGTCGTTTTGCTCAGCCACTGCACATTCAGAACAACACACATGCCATCCACCACTCGGTGACAGCAGCGGCGTGTCACCAGCGACGGTCCGTCGTGTGGCACAGCCCCGAGCGGCGGCTATCACCCGTCCAGTGACATATCGTAACCCGCAGCGGCGGCCGCAGCCGACTGATCGGTCCCCGGGGACGACCAGTGGTCACCAGCCGCCGCCGCCGCCACCGCCGCCGCCCCCGCCCCCGCCCGGCCGCCGTCGCCCCGGCGCATCGCTGAAAACAATCGGCCCGACCGCCTATGGAAAATGGTTGTTTGTTCGGCAGCTGGCGTCGGATCTATAGGGATGTCATTATCCGCTCGTGCCGACAGCAGCGGCGGAGGCAGGGTGCGTCGGGAGAGCGATCCCGCCGGACGGGCTAGAGAGTGATCCGACCGCCGGGGCTGCTGATCGGTCACGAGCTGACGACGAGGCAGCTTCCCGAGCGGGACGGAGGTCAGGACACACATGCCGCTGCATCGCTCAGCTACTGTAGAAATGGACGGACAGATATGTGGCTATCGAGCAGTGGAAGATCGGCTCTGTAAAAGTTGAATTCTGCTGGCGCCGAGTTTTTACGATGATGCGTGAAACTGAACAATTTTATTTTGGTTGTCTTTTGCTACAATACCGATAGCGTGGAAGGGTGCAGTGGTCTTGTAGTTGGCGCCTGGCGGCACTGATATATATTTGCATACGTATGGACTGTCTTGACGTGCCATCGATACCAATTGTTTTAATCCATTAAGCCATCAATCATAAACCGGTCTTAGCCTGTATATAGTGTTCCCTTGCATTCGCTCTTTCACCTCTCCTCATTCACCGAGGTTTCATCCGGCCCTGGAGTGGGATCGATCGACTATGCAACAGTCGCTGGCCGGTCCAAATCACAGCTCCGTGATCACGCCGGCTCGCTGTCTAAACTGATCGCCGCCGCCCGCAGATTGGACCAGCGCACAAATTGTGTTTGCCCACCGCCGATTTGACGCGCCGTGTGAACGAGGTTCCGGGCCGCACCCCACCGACGTCGGGCGGTTAAACCGCACCAATGATGTTGATTTGAGATAGGATCGAATGGGGTGAGCTGCGACGAGGAATGAAGTTTCTTTCCGTGTGGTAGTTGGAAGTGGATGTGCTGTTTTGAATGTGTAGAACGTAGATAGTGGCCAATATGTTCCCGTGGATTGTTCTCTATGAAATGAAATTGTGCCTGATCATAAACGGATTATACGTTTTGTCCTGTGTTACTTATCACAGTCCGGCCTTCAATGAGGTCAGACTAATCACATTATATTACACAACCCCAGGAGACTTATGGACAGTCCAACTTTTGTTGTGATAAAGCCAGCGATCCCTTTCGGCCATTACCGGCTGGCCGGGCGGTGACACAATGGTGGCCTGGGTCAGCGGTGGAAGGGCAGTGGTCGTATCGTGGCCGCCGCCGGGCCGTCCAATATCACCGGCTCAGACGGATGGCCGTGCTGCTGGTGGACCGTCTCGGTGGTCTCTGCCGGCAGATAGTCTCTGCTGTGTTACAGTGCAGACGGCAGCGGACAGCGGCGGCCAACCACCGCCGGTGACCTGACCCAGATGGCGCGGAAATATGACCGTCGTCGCATGGGCGTAACCACCGCGCTGGAACGCTGGAAATTCCAGCCCATTTTTGGGATGCTGAAATGCCGCCCCTGGTAGAGGAAGCCTGCAATTGCGGGACTCGCGGACTTCAAAACCAAGAAAAAACGGCACTGCTCGGTCCACTATACGCCTGACCTCAACGTGCCGCTCCTCACTAAAATAACTAGGTGCCCTCTACATGCCGCCCCTCCCAGATGTCCTTCCGCCCCTCCGCACCAGCTTCCCCTCAAGTTCCTCGGAGCTCTCTAAGTGCCGCCCCTCACAGAACCCCGCCGCACTCAATGTGCCGCCCCTCCGCATATAGGTCTATCGCCGTCTGTGCCGCCCTCCCCAGAGTACCTCGGCGCTCTCTATGTGCTGCCCTCGCCACAACTTCCCGCCGCCCTCAATAAGCCGCCCCCCCCCCCCAATGCTCTATCGCCATATGTGCCCCCACCCCCGAAGTGCCTTGGCGCCCTCTATGTGCCGCCCATCACCACAAACCCCGCCGCCTCCAATGTGCCGCCCCTCCCCACACCGCTTTACCACCGTCTGTGCCGCCCTCCATAAACGCCTTGCCGCCCTCCCCAGAGTATCTTGGCGCCCACTACATATGTGCCGCCCCTCGCCACAACACCTCGCCGCCCTCAACAAGCCGCCACTCCCCACAATGCTCTATCGCAGTCGGCGCCACCCTCCCAAGGCACCTTGCCGCCGCTACGTACCGCCCCTCCCCAGACGCCTTTATGCCCTATGTGCCGCCCCTCGCCACAACACCCCCCGCCGCCCTCAACAAGCCGCCACTCCCCACAATGCTCTATCGCAGTCGGCGCCACCCTCCCAAGGCACTTTGCCGCCGCTACGTGCCGCCCCTCCCCAGACGCCGTTCTGCCCTTACACGCCTCCCCTTCCCAGAATGCGTCAAAACGTTTAATGATTCGCCCCTCCCTATAACGCTCCATCGACGTCTGTGCTGCTCTCGTCAGGCGCTGTACCACCTCTCCCCGGAATGCTAGCCCTCGCTGGCCCGGGGGGCGTTTTTCGCCCCTAACCCTGGCGAATATTTGCGATAGCTCAGTCAGGGGTGCTTAAATTGCTGCTGTTTACATATAATAACTACGCATTGACTTCGCGAATAGTGCTGAAACGTCTCCGATAGGCGAACATCGTGCGGACCGGGGGATTCATAATTCCATGGCTAGGTATCACAGTTTGGTTGCTACTCTTAACGTGCGCAAATGAAGGACGTGCGCACGTTTTGGCGGGCTCTGTATGCTGCCCAACACAAAGTGTTACATTTTGGGCTCGATAAGTCTAAGGGATTCGCCTATGCGAATTCAGCCCATGAGAGCGTCAGGTGAGACGCTCTGATCGCAAACAACCATCGAAGTCGCGAAATGGCCCTGTATGATTGCTTGATGTAAACATTCCGAGCCAACAAGTAGTGCCCTGAGCGCGCAGCAAGACTCAAGAGTTAAGCTGAGCACTTGAAAGAGTCCTCGGTCTACTGTGGGGCCCTTGAGTGGGTGAGGTCTTTGGCTGGATCCCGTCCTGCAGGCTCACGCCTGGGATGGGTCCTCTTTAGGCAGGCTCGAAAACTTAGGGGCAATCAGAGGCCGGTGTGGGGCTCTGAGAGTTAAGCGTGACTGCTTAAAAGTTGCGCTTTCAGAAGGCCTGTGCGTTGGGCACCCAAAGACCAGCGTGGTGCCATCGTTTTATCGTTTTATCGTTTCGTTATCGCTGTTAAAAAGCAATTATCGTTATCGTTTTATCGTTTTATCGCTATCGCTGTTAAATTTTTGAATATTTTTATCGTTTATCATTTATCGTTATCGCAAACCTTTCTTATCGTTTTATCGTTATCGCAGGTTCGAAAATTAGTTATCGCGTAAAACACTGAAAATGACCTGACCTCATATGACCTTTAGGAAAAATCCGAGATATACAAGTTGTTAGTCTCCTAATGGATACTAGGTCCTGCAAGTTTCATTTCCCTGTAAAAGCTCCTCTGGCAGTGAGGGCGTTGCGAATTTGCGACATCCTGAAGACCGTGCAGAGGTTCACTTATGACGTCATAGGTCAGTGACCTGATCTGACCCGAAAATGCGGTTGGTGTCAAAAGATCCAGCTTGGATCAAAGGTCAGGTATGCCAAGTTTCAGCTCTCTATCGCCGGCGTGTTCGGAGCTATCGCGAAAAACCCCTATGGGGGGGGGGCGGCACCCGCCCCCCTCCCTCGGCCGGCGAGGTTTAATGCCGCCCCCGGAGGGAGTTATTTCCAGCCCATTTTTTAGGAGTGATTACGCCCCTGCGTCGTCGCCACACCACGAACACTTGACATCGTGTGTGTCATCATGTGTGAATGGATTGCACAATGCTGAGGGCTCAATAGAGTTTTATCACGAATGTGGTCGTTGAGACACCTGATCGGTGAAAAATAATGTTGTAATGTTAAAAACGCTCTCTTCAGATCATCATCACTTGTCTCAAAGCACATTTACCAGATATTGCGGTCGGTTTGATTGCTGTTTTTAATTTGTTTCAGGTGTTCCTGGTCTTCGACTCATCGATTCGCAGTTTCCGAGCCATGTGCTACGAGGCAGTTCATTCAATATCTCCTGTGATTACGACGCCAACGGACAGCAAATCTACCAGGTCAAATGGTACAAGGGCGAACAGGAATTCTACAGATACAACCCAGCAGGGAAGGGAAGGACGTTCGACACACCAGGCGTCAACGTCAATGTGAGTTCGGAATGAGTTTAGCATAGTATTAGGCTGTTGCAATTTGCAAACACTGTAACATACGTGCTTGTTAATGGCAAGGCTGTTTCTATCAAAGGCCAAATCATGACTCACAATTGAGGCTACAAATGGTACAAATGAGATGGTCCGTAAGTTTTGTTTTCTTCGGTGTTATCGATAAATAACAAATCATGCCTTCCGATAGTAAAAGCAAGCACGAATGTTCAGATTATCTCATTCTCATTAATTGAACAAATGATAATTTGAAATGGGAACAGGCAGACATTTAGCTAATCCATCCTTCATGCTCCCATTCTTTCCCTGACTTGATCCCGGGCAACGAGCAGGAGCAATCTTACCATGGTCTGTAGCTACATATCTAATGTGATCACGACGTAAGGCATTTAACTACTCTTTCCTCGACTGCGTCGCGTCATAGCCCTGGCCCTAAGTTGACGCCTCGGAGCCCGTCACTGGGTTGATACACGAATCTCCTCTCAAGCGGGGGCGGTAAAGTGCAGCGTGCCGTGCTCCTCAGTCGGCTCAGGCGCACCTAATCGATCACCTCGGCGGGCTAATGCACGCCCTGCTGGCGGTGATAACTAGCGCCGTAAGCGGCCGGCCCGTCCCGGACGGCACAGATATACCGGGGTGCGGCGACAGGGGCCGGAGGTGGTCAACACATGTGGTGAACGAGGAACGGCGCTTATGTAATCGGCACAGAGCTCTAAACAAATGCCGTTTTTCTTTTCTTTTTTGGGTTTTTAAGTTCTTTTCATATCATTTTAAGAACGTTTTTCGAGATATGCTATGTGTCGCGGAAATCAAAAACAAATAAAATGCGAAGAAAAAACGTCTCCAAATTTCCGTAAATGATTATGTAGTTGTCATTTTCTCATTATTTTTGTCATAGTTTGGTTTGGTTTTGGTTTTCCATTTGTAAAGATTTGCCATCACTATGCGCATTGCCTACCACGCCCTGCCCACGGCACCGTGCCCACCTGACATGTGTTCAATATCTTTCAGGTGGACCGGGCTACCAGTCGCAGTGTCCTGCTGGAGGGCGCCGACAGGGCCACCGAGGGGGTCTACGGCTGCGAGGTCACCGTCGAACAGTCGTTTGACACCGTCATCGCAGCCGGTCAGGTCACTGTTGTGGGTGAGTCGGGTCACTGTTGTGAGTATGTCGTGGCACTGTGCTGGTGTGTCGGGTCACTATTCATGGTATGTTTCCCCCAAAACACATGATCGAGAATTGGACTAGGAATGCTTGGAGCATGCTTTTGAGTTTTGTGTATAGAGCAAAGCGACACCCTTGGGAGAGAACTTACCTCTTAGCTTGAAACGTGCTCCTAGAATCTGAACTTTACTCCTGAGTTCAGCAGAAGCAAGGTTCAATAAACGGACTCCAGTTACTTGCATGGAAGAACGTCCTGTCTACAAACTATTAAAGCCAAATCAGAAAAGTGACAACAATTACATAAAAAAACATACAATGCCCGTATAACGCGGTTATATTTTGTTGCAGATTTGCCTCAGGGAGGTCCGGTGATCAGGGGCCTGTTTCTGGACAGCATGGACGAGGGTGACCGAGTCTGGGTCAACTGCACCTCGTACAGGTCAAGGCCAGCCGCGCAGCTCACTTGGTATATCAACGGTGCTAGGGTGAGTGAAAAGAACTACACAAATGGTGCAGACATGGCGTCGGACCAAGTAGGCATACGCCTACAAACGCACGGGCAAGACACATGCAAGTAGGGTGAGCGTAACAACACTAGCTGAATAGTGGTTACAGGCTGGCAAATATACACCAACCATGAACCAGCTTATAATTATTTCGGATGCTTTATTCGCGACCGAAATGAATTGTTTTGAGCTTGTGACCCATGGAAAGTCATCCGCAACCTTCCTCTCTTGCCTTGCCGCTGGACTAGTTTGCAGCCGGGGTAGGTCATCCAATATTTGCCCTTCAATTATTGTTGCTATATATAAATGTCGTCTCATTAACTCATTAACGACGATAATTCCGTGGGCAAATTTCGGCAGTTTTTCTTGATGCCCTGTGCTTCTACATGCACTAGAAATGCACATACGGTGTATTGAAAAATAAAAATATTTTTAACATATATTTCTGGACTGGCAACTATAGTTGCCACTCGGCGTTGGCGTAGTCAAAAATTGCCGCTATCGTAACTTTTCATTAAACAAATACTAATCGCCGGGATGCATTGAATCTATTTATGTCCCAACTTATCCCACACGAGCCTTAATCCAATTTCCAAACAGAAAAAAGTGGTTACGCCACTTCAATATAAATTTTTAATAAGATAATTACGTCTAAGTAGTGGAATCTACACTATGCCCTATGGTATAAGCCTGTAGCCTGTGCCCAAAGCAGCTGCAGTCCTTGGTATCCAGGAAACACAGTTCATTTATCCATCAATAAGTGTTTTTCTGTACCAAAGCAGATGCTCTTTACCAGTCCTTTTTAACCATTTATCTTGACATGCATAAATAAAATCTGCTCGAAAACAATTCAACAAAGAATGCATATTATCTCATACGTAGTTCTCACCAGATCCCTATTTACTCGTACATGGTTGATGGCAGGTATACCGTCCTATCACAAAACTTTCTACCGGGTATGATACATTTGTAAAAACTCGGGGTACAAAGCAACTCGATTATTCATGCCTATTTGCGAGCACGCTGATTACAGGCCTACCGGAGCCATGGAATTGTATAGTATATTTCTGATTCCCGCATACGTACGTACTTCTGCTGTCCTTACCTAACCAGTAAATCCGTTCGCCTTCGAATGTTTTTTAGACTGTTCGGACGAGAGTCTGGACAAATTGGATCCCTTTCGTGATCACGACTCGAGCACACACTGGCGGTTGTACTTCAGAATAAGAAGGGGGATATGTTGATTGACGAGTAAAAGTGGTGTAAGTACAAGGCGACCACCACTACTTGCACTTGAACACATTCCACGTGTCATAAAAATATAGTTCAATTTCATCTAGTTTAGGACAACTGAACAGGCCCACATCTATCTATATTACTATTTGAGGAGGGCGTAGTTTCTGTCTATTACGAAGGTCGCGACATGGTGCTACGTAGCGCGGGTTACAGATCACACCGTTGCACCTACCGCGCTGAAATTTGCGCAAGTTATAGAACAGGGATTGACAACGTGCCTTTGAGCGGTCTCGGCTCGATCGGATCGATAGCGAGCGCGTGGCGCGTGCCCAAAAAGTGCAAATTCGCGTCATAGACTTTACATGTATAAATCGGCTGGCAAAAACGGGCGAAAATGGCTAAATTTGCCCGACACGGGTCCGTTCCCCGTGCAATATCTCGGTAGCCGTGCGCCCGATCGGCACGGGGAAAACAGCATCGTGTAGAGAATCGAACGGGCAATCGAATAGTGTGCGGTGCAGGGGTGGCACGCGCCACGTGCAAGTGTGAGGGCAATTTCATTTCAAAAAGTGCCATTTTAAACGGATTTTGGAATTTATATTAATTTCAGGTGATCGTCAGACGGAATGAGTTGAAACAGCGCCTATTAGCAATAAAAATGTACCATCGCTCATGGAAAAATTGTGAAAAGCTAATTGATCAAAAACAATGTGGAAAAAATCGCTGAATTAAATGGTATTTGTCCAAAATGTGCCACTAAAAAGTTACACGGGATTTGCTGCTTAACCTGATACGCTTGACAATTGAAAATGCTATCATTAGAAAGAGCATTCAATTCTCTCCAAGATCCAATCATCACGTTTGCATGACAAGCAACAGTATTCTTAAAAATATAAATGTTTTAAACCTCTGCAAAGCGATTTTTAGCGAAAAATATCTACGCCTTTCATTTGTCTGAAAACTACGCACCTCAATTATAAAGCACATTTGGCAGATTCTGAAGTGGAAAGCATGCTTATCAGACACGGGCATCTCGATGCGGTGGATATTTTTCCACAAACCAAAACGTTTAGCCGTCAAAAAGCAATCGACCGAAATGGATAGATAACCCAACCGACACAAGAACAACCGAACACCCGCCGATCGAAAATATCCCTTTTCGCGTTGCGGAGCACGCGGGTCACCCTAGTATTTTCTACCACCTGAATCCCCATTTCCTCGTTTCCAGCTGGCAGTGCCAGGAATCAGCACTGCCCCAAGTCAGGCGATGTCTCGCCTTTGGTTCACAATTTTCATTCAGTCCCATGAGACAACATCAGCTACGTGATCGTAACCTAAAGTTTCGTGTGCTGTTATCCTCGCACGAAACCCAAAGCACAAAGCCGCCTCCACCGTCTCATTCAGCTGAATCACCAGCATCTGCTGTGAAAGTTCAGATAGCAAGCAGCTTCATCGGAATCAATTCGGTATCACGACTGTGTCAAGGTCATAATCGGCGTCAATGGGAGCTCAGCGGAGGAGGTGGGGGAGCTTTCGTTTATGGGTCCCTGTTTGTAAACGTCATACAGCGTCTTTACGATGCTAAAAACTTAATTTGTTGATGCAAATAGGCTTAACAAGCGGCTGCGCCACTTGCTTCGCGACGTAGCCAGAAAATACGCAGCAGCCCGTTTGCTTTCGAATGGTGTTTGATTCATACCGATGAGCCATCTGGAAGCAGATATATAAAGGAATATTCTGATGGCTTAGTTTGATAAAATTTGGGTCATACGGGGTCAAGTCAGGTCAAGTCGGTCATCCCTGGTCACACTGGGTCAGGCCAGGTCACCTTCGGTCAGGCCAGGTCGTATAGGTCACCACGTCACATTGTATCGGCCTGTGCCACACTTCTACTAATTCTACCCATACCACTACTCCTACCACTACCCCTACCACTACCCCTACCACTACCACTACCACTACCCCTACCACTACTCCTATCACTACCCCTACCCCTACTACTACCACTACCCCTACCACTACCCCTACCCCTACCACTACCACTACCCCTACCCCTACCCCTACTACTACAACTACCCCTACCACTACCCCTACTACTACCCCTACCGCTACCCCTACCACTACTACTACTACTACCCCTAACACTACCCCTACCCCTACCCCTACCCCTATCCCTACCCCTACCCCTACCACTACCACTACCCCTACTACTACCCCTACCACTACTACTACCCCTACTACTACCCCTACCACTACTAATACCCCTACCACTACCCCTGCCACTACCCCTACCACTACCCCTACCAATACTACTACCCCTACCACTACCCCTACCACTACCCCTACCCCTACCCCTACCACTACCCCTTCCCCTACTACTACCCCTACCCCTATTACTACCCCTACCACTACCCCTACCACTACCCCTACCACTACCCCTACTACTACCTCTAACACTACCCCTAACACTACCCCTACCCCTAATACTACCACTACCCCTACCGCTACTCCTACCAATACTACTACCACTACACTACTGCCACTACCACTGGGTCATGTGAGGTCACAGACCATCAGATAAACTGATAAACTAAAAAAGAGTTCCTAACCGTGCTCCTACTCGTGTAATTCCATTATTCTTAATCGTATTTGGTTGAAATGGCGCCTTGTGACAAATGTGGCGCATTGCGACAAAAATGGTGCATTTGTAATTGTCGTTTTGCCATGCTTCCTTCCACCGATTTGCACCTTTATCGGACCATATTTGACAAAGCTGTGCAATTTGCGGCAAAAATGGGGCCTTTTGACAAATGTGGCGCATTACGGCAAACGCGGCGCATTTGTGTTAGCGCAGTGAAAACTGTCTTTATTTACCGAAAATCAACACCTTCATTCGCCTCTGTTTATCAAAATAAATAAGCTGTCAATCTGCAAATGAGAGGCACCCGCCGCCGATCGTCATGCATTTTAGTTGCAAAGTTCGTCGAACCCGGCTGCCGATGCCTTGAAGACCGAGCAAATATGGAGAAAATGCACCTTTTTCCAGCGCGTGCCACGTGCGAACCATCCACCCCCGGGATTCGAAACACGACACTGCACGTGCCCGTGACGTCATCAACACCGTGTGCAAATTTCAGCCCCCTCGACCGCACCGTTTGACCTGCGCACGGCGTCAAAGCACCCCTCTGCAAGGTGCAAACAGACAGAGTTTCATTTCACAAATAGTATAGTAGATACCTACGTGCCCCTCCAAATTGAAACACGAGCTGGTCACACGATTTAGCATCATGGCACGGTGCCTGCAGATGAGCATGCCTGAGTTTGGTTATGCATACTGCAAGTGGCGCGACTAACGAACGCTAGGAAAAACCAGCAAAGCATAGTCTTCGACATAGAAAGCGAGAGCGACTCTGGTTTATCCAGAAAGGTGATAGGTGATATCACACGCAGCAGGGTTTGAAAATTCTCGTACCTAAACTTCTCGGATTTCGGTTTGTTATAAATGCATTACTGTGCAATCGTAGGCAATCTTTATCGTATAAATGCCGTTTTAGTTCTCTTTCTTTACAAAGAAAACGAAACAAAATCGGGCAAGTCGGACTCTGTGAGCTATGAATGTCCGTAATGTTTCCTGCATCCGCCAGTGGAGGAACAGGGAAAGAGAGCGAGAGAGAGAGAGAGAGAGAGAGAGAGAGAGAGAGAGAGAGAGAGAGAGAGAGAGAGAGAGAGAGAGAGAGAGAGAGAGAGAGAGAGAGAGAGAGGAAAGAGAAAGCGAGATTGCATCCCATTCCACAAAAATATCTTCAGTAGATGATAAACATAAACAGATTTAACAATGTCGAGAATAGACCAAGAAAACAATGGATGGGGGTAGGGTTCACTATGGTAATGTATAGACATGCATGTATTTTTTAATTAATTTCTGCCTTAATTGTTAATTTATTTGCAAAAGTCCATGTAACTATGTCCCAAGGTATACACGGGGACAGTCTGGTTGAATAACATATGTTTCGTTACAGTATATCCGTAAATACATTTATTTAACTATGAACCGCTCATATTTTTGACTACGCTAACGCCGAGTGGCAACTATAGTTGCCAAGTACAAATCTAGTACAAATAACTACAAATGAGTAGAGTGCTTTCAAGTTTTGAGACACTGGTAGCCTGCCTACATCCTTTCTGGATCAAAATAAGCCGAAAATGCTCGGAAATACCGGACACTCTGGAAAAACAGCGTCGTTTTCTTCGGGACCGTCAAGCCAATATGGCGGCCGTCTCTGCAACGTCTGACTATTTCTTGATTTGTGAAGCATGTTGCGCACAGGACGTGACTAAAACCGTCTGATCATGATGAGAAGGGACTATGCTGATTAGGCATCCCACAAATGCTGTTCTGACGTCATTAACTTGCCTTCAGCAGTAGGTTTTTGTAGATGGCAACTATAGTTGCCACTCGGCGTTAACCCGCGACCTGGTGGGGCGGGGGGGCTATTTTTTGCCCCCCCCTCCAGACTTTTCGATATATCTCCAGAACCACTGCGCCGATCGTCACCAAACTTTCAGTACCCTCCCGGACATCAATTTTACACATTGTGACCAAAAATTTTTCCAAAGGCTATGATAGGTTGGCCGGAAATGACGTCAGAGTGACGTCATGTTCTGCCGTTTTCGACCAAAAAAATGGTTTCGCGGGAAGAGCTGTCAGGCCTATAGCTTTGCAAATACAGAAAAATGATACAGATATAAAAGCTGTAGAATGGACAGGGCTACAAAACTGCTATCTCGGATTTTTGAAATTTTTGGATTTTGACCCCCAAAAATCAAAAAATAGATTTTTTGAATATAATAGCCAAAAAATCCAAAAAGTTTTTTGAACTTCGAAAAAACCGGAATATATGTGATAGTCCTTACCGCCTTCTATCTGCATACCAAATTTGAGATCGATACCTCTTTTTTTGGCCAAGTTATAGCGAAAAAACTGTTCAAAATTGATGACGTCAAATTTTCAAACTCAATTTTCAGCAATTCTAGACCTCGTAGCGCAAAACAAAGACCACCATTAGACTCCCCGTGACGAGCTGCATCGAATCAATACCCATTTTATGCAAAAATATCAACTTTGAAATTTGACCTTTTTTGACCTGACCTTGACCTGACCTTCACCAGAAAGTGACCTAAACCGTACCTGATGGTCTTATAACCAACACCATTGAGTTGGAAATGAAAAACTGGCCATAAAACATGCATCGCATAACCTTAGTAAAGTTGGGTTCATGTGGTGACCCTTGGTGACCTTTGGTGACCTGACCTGTGACCTGACCTGGTATGACCAGTGACCTCTAACAGCAACATATCTACTAGGCAACTGACGCCCTATCGCTGATTCCCGACAAAATGCGTTTTCCTCGGTGTTATAGCGCATTCCCTAGAAGACCCGTGAACGGTGAAACATTTCATCTTTGACCTGACCTGTGACGTCATCGGTGACCCCAAGGTCAATAATATCCCTCGACAAATTTGACAGGCCTTTCGAACGCCGTTTGAATTTTTCGGATCCGTCCAGTAGTTTCGGAGATACGAGGGGGGCAAAAAATAGCCCCCCCACCAGGTCGCGTTATAAACAGACCCCACCAGGGCGCGGGTTAATGAGGGTAGCAGAGATCACACTGTAAGAGCAAGTCACATTTAAACCTGCGCTTTGGCAGAGCTTTCTGGCCGTTTATTCAACGCCTTTAAATTGCAAAGCTTTAAAAAATTAAATTGAAATATTAATCAACTGAACATGTTTTACGCAATTGTCTATGCATTTCGATTATCTAATTTTTATATTTTGCAATTTGAAATCGAAGTTATTGTCATTCTTGATTGCTTTGAATTGATTTGAACCAGCCACGAGCTGCCATTTGCCGTTAGGATGAGAGTGGCTTAGCATAAATGGCTGTTTTGATATGGTTTGTGTAATTGATTTATTGGTCAAACTTTGTCAATAAATAACATCGATGAACTGCTACTCGATGGTGAATGGTAGCGATCGGCGCTCACACAACAATATTAATGGGTATTCTAGTCAATTTAGTCTAATACATATTGGAGTAATCGAAGTACATTAATCAAAACCTGCTTCTATTAGCCATACTTTTTCTTAATGATTATTTAATCTCTATACCTACCCATATAGCCGTTGCTCGTCGAAAACTATACCATTCTGTTTGGGGTAAATTGTGTTCAGGGAGAGTGCACCCTCATCTTTATATCTGGGTGCGTCATTGAACCCTGCCTGATGGAGTGTTTTGAGCCGCTCCTGTTGACCCTCCCCGAGACGCTCACAGGCGGTCGGACAAGCTAAATTATCGATGTAGCCCGTTCAGAAACGACATATGGTTATAACGTATGGCATATTTATTTTCATTATTCCGACTTACCTTTCACATAGTATACGATTTGTTTTTTTTTTCTAGGTGATTGAAGACATTCGGATGAAAAAGTAAATGAGCATTATACATATAGTACCGATCTTCATGTGCTATATCTGACACATGGCAACTGATCAGCTACCACAAGAGCAGGTTATGCCAACTATAGATGCGTTATTTGGGTGAAATACATACAAAAGTCAGACGTTACTTACAGAACCTACACCATGGTACGCCGTTGTCTACTGCCTTGGTCTCCGATAGTCAGGTGGTTTCCCACATCACACACGCTTGTCACCGTCCGTTGGGCTCTGCGTCTCACCTGCTGCGAGCCTAGCTAACCTACTCCCCTGTTCTCAGTGATCTCGCCCCTCCCTCGCCCTCCCAGTTCACACCTCAGCTCACCCGCCATCTGCCTTTTGCCGCTCGACCACAAAGAGCGGCCGAGTCCCGGCGGGGACGCCGCTGACCAGCGGAGAGCGGCCCGCTAATGACCGTCGTCCATTACCCCAATTGGTCGGCGGCCGCTCAGTGGCGGATCATTCGCCGCGACAGCCGAGTCGTTCGGTCAACAGATGACTCGTCAGGTCGCCGGGGAGCAGCCGGCCGGCCGGCCGCCGCGCCGCGCCTGCCGCCGACACGAGCGCGATTGGGCCGCGCCGGGCCCTGAAATATGGCCGCGCATAGGCCCGCTTTGCTAGATCTGCATCGGCGCTGGTATATTTATTGTGGTGTAACAAACACCCTCGTATCGCCAGCCGCGCCATGATTTATGCACTCGGTATATTTGCTTTGTGTACCGATGACTTGCGTGCTGATGGCCTGTTGGCTCTGACGATGGATGAAATGAATACCCAGCAATGGTGTAGCGAATTAGAGGGCGTTTAGCATAAACACAGCACACAAAACCATGAACGAAGTCGCAAAAAGGGGTAGCGATGATTCAAGCTTGTTTCTAAAATGTTCCATCTTCGGTTGGCAACTTAACAAATTATCGTTTGTTAAATGTGCCAACTGCAGCTCGCGTGATCTGCCCGCCATCACTTTGTCACATGAAAACATTTAGACGGCATCAAACCCATCACAGTTTATGAGTGTCACGTAGTGTTTTCTCCTCCTCCCTCCTCTCTCAAATGGAAGGAAACTGGGTGTTCTTCTTAATTCATTTCTTCCCCGATTTTCCAAGTCACACTACCCATAGGAACCCAGTGTCCCAGCGGAAAGCTGTGTCAGTTGTCAGCGCCACATCATCCTGATACTTCACAGTTCCCACAAAGCCGGTTATCGCTAACAATATTCCAGACGTTATTTCTCAGTACCTACCAGTATAACGCCTTTTGGGCGACTAACGGAGCGAGCGAGAGGGTGGGCCTTGCACGTGCGAAATTGCGAGGGGGTACCTCCAACTGACTTGTGCACGGCACCCTACTAACTGGTCTCTAGCGATGTGCCAAATTTGGGCACAATCGGCCCAGCCGTTCTCGAGATCTGGAAGCGGCACCCTGCACGTGCGCACGTGCAAAATGGGTCCCAACTGACTTGTGCACGGCACCCTACTAACCGGTCCCTATCCGTGTACCAAATTTGAGCGCAATCGGTCCAGCCGTTCCCGAGATCTGGAAACGACCCCTGCACGTGCGCACGTGCAGCAGCACCCCAACTCTGGCACATGGATATGCAGTGCCTAGTGGGTGCCTACCTACATGCCAACTTTCAGCGCAATCGGCCAAGTAGTTACCGAGATATTGCAACAATTACAAAACTGACACCTCTTCGTTTTGCACGTGGCACGTGCATAAGGGGTCACCCACATGCATCGGGAATAGTCCAATACTTGGTAGCAGGAATGAAGCTACCCTACAAAAATTACCGCGTGTAAATCGGTCAAGTGGTTGCTGAGATATAAGCCTCGCAAAAGCGTGACCACGGCCGGCCGGCCGGCCGGCCGGCCGCTCATACTCAGAAATTTCCGTTAATCTAAGGAAAGACTACGCTCGCTTCGCTCGCTCCGTAATTACGTGAACACAGCATACCTCCAGAAGAATTATAACAGGCAGTTGCTCTCTTCCTCAGCCGGATGTCAGCCTCCTGCGGCACTACCCAGCGATGGTAGACGAGAACGACCTGCAAACGGTCACACTGGGGCTGGACTTCCGGCTGAGGGGCTCCCACTTCGGCTCCACCGGCCTGGTGATGCTCAAGTGCACCGCCGAGATCGAGACTGTGTTCTACCAGAGCGCCAACGTCCGCATCGTCAGCAGGACCATGGCCATGCGGTCCCCCTTCGGATCAGGTATAAGGGAGAAGTGCTTGAGGAAATCGTCTGTGGGTTGATCGTAGACGTAGTTAAGGATGTGTATGTACTTGTCCGATGGTGATTTGCATTCTTGCTTGGTGTTATGAGTGCATTTAGACCCTTTATGTGATACGGTAGATTTCGTATCAAAGCAAAGATACAAAATCTACCGTATCGCATAAAGGGTCTAAATGCACTCATAACTTCAAGCATTAGGTCATGAAGCGGAGAGATAAAGTAATATCAACATTGTCCGAATAAGATGAAATAATGGCATGACAAGTCAGTTTCCACAAGGAAGTTGACTTGCACTTCTACAATCACGTCGAATTGCTCCATCACTTTCAATCGGCCCTTTTATAAAGTGAAAGATTTATGACTGACTTCAGTTAAGCGGCACTATGCACCTAGAAAAAAAAAACGCTCCAACCTAAAGCTCCATTGACTCACCAAATCTAAATGTCCAAGTAATGAGTAAGCAAGAATGCACCGGCAGCCAACTGGCAATGCTCAGAGGAGTCACCGTGTCCTCAGCCCCCTCCCTGGCCTCCCTAACGTCCGTCCAGGCTCCAATATGGCAGCGGCCATGTGTCTGAGTGGACAGCTCGAATCTGTCTGGTCGTCGCGCGGATGGACGGAGGCTGAGATATGACGCGGTGCCAATACTGACGCCCCGGCGGCGATGGGCGCACATTTGTCAGACAGAGGCGGCTGGGCGCTATATGGGACAGCGCGCCACCGCAGGCCGCCACCGGGTGGTGTCCGAGGCCGGGGGGTCACCAGCTGCTGCCTGAGCGAACAGCTGCTGTCCGAAGGGGCAGCTGTGGACAGCTGTTGTCCGAATGGGTAGCTGCTGCCTACAGTTCGAGCGAACAATTGTCCAAGCAGTAGGTAACTGGCTGTGGTTGTGTGGCCGGCTGGCTACCACCACGCTCGCTGGACTCTCCATGGCTGTTTCCCATTTTGTGCCCTAAAGAACATCCTGTTGACCCTGAAGTAAGTTGTATCTAAACAGAGTCGTAAAAGTTTTATGAGGTCTGTGGCCTCTAGTGCTGTTGCCGCTTTAACCTTGCTGCCCTTGTCCAAAAACTCTCCTTCTACATAGTCTTTGGCATGCTACTTCGCATGCCGCCTCTGTCGGTTCAGATGTGAACAGAGCTTTGACATCAGATGGTATCATTGCCTTATCGTCAGCGAGTGTAGCCGCACGTAAACGCTCTATAAAACCTGACATGATGCTCAGAACTGCCCACAAGAGAAGATAGGATGCTAGTTAAATGTTTGGACAGCGCGTGCGTTACGCTGCTTACACTGTAAACTCATTTCATGTGTAGCATATATATATGCTACACATGATGGGTCGTAGCGGTGCTACCTGCTTAGTGCTTATGCACCGTCGGATAGCCCAATAAGGCAATGGCGGTTGGGTCCAACGGGTACAGCTTCAGATACGTTTTCATGTCTACTTTGCGCTGTTGCTCTAAAGTCTAAACCCTTTAGTGCCCTCTCACCTCTCGTATTTCAATGAAGATCACAACTTTAACGAATAGTGATTGCTCATTACTGAAAACTCCAACCTTTGGATACACCCCGGACAGATGAACCACTCGCTTATCTCCATCCTCCCGTCCCCGGCCACGGCTCCTATCCACCGGTTTCCTCCTTCAGATCGTGCAAAGAAATTTAAAGACAAGAAAAATAAGGTGTGTTACAAAACCATTGACAATGACATAAGAAAACATCATACAATGACACCCATCACCAGTTTCTTATCCATGTGGGATGACAAAATGTGGCCATCGCACATCAGTCGTCATCGCCCGAGGAGTCGCTGCCACTTGGCATCGGAGATTCTTCTTCCGGTGATGATTCATCTAACGATGGTGTTTCACTCTTGTTTCTCTTAGAGCGCAAACAGAGCACTGCACAGCATGCACCTAAGATCAGCAGCAGGAGCAGTCCATAGAAGGCGATCGACATCTCGTCACCCTCATCGAGTTTCAGTTTGGACGCTCCCGCGGCGTCGGTCCCTACCACGGTGGTGTTTCCGTCGGCGGTGCCTGTCCCTGTGGTGTTCGTTGAATCTTTTCCGTCATTGTTTGGCAGCACCTTCAGCTTACTCTGCGGCCTCGTGACGAACCGCACGTTAAACTGAAGCATCTCGATCATGTATTTGGTGAGCTCGGCGGATTGCAGCCACTGGCCCTGCTTCCCGATGATGACGATGCCGATGACGTTCGTCTTGGCCCGCAGCATGAGCGCGTTGGACTTGGGCTCGTTGGTGACGAAGGTTGAAGAGCACTCTGTTCGAATCTTGCCTTGTTCAAAATTGCCCCAGTAGAAACGCATGCCATAAATGCAGTCCTCATTAGATATGTGCTCCAAAATGTCAGAAAACTTGTGTCCACTCAGCTTGACCTGGGTTACTGTTCCTGTCTCAAATACGCTGACAGTGGCTGTGGTAGTTTTATCCGGCCCCTTCAGATACATAGTAGCATATTGGTAAAATTTGAATACTGCGGTACCATAGTTCTTGTTTTCCAAGTGCATGCCTTTATTCTTGAAATTGTACTGACCGTCGCCGTCTACTTCAATCATCGCTTTGGCTTTGTCTTGTGGAGGGAACATGGCGCCCTCCACTCCACCCCAAAGTCCGGCTATCATCCGTTCACACAGTGATCCTGTGAATCCCTGCGGGCAGTGGCAGGTGCAACTCTTCTGTACGAAGCCGAAATTTTTGCATTTTGGTGTTGAGGTACATGAGGCTGACCATTTTTTAATACATCCATATATGGTGTTTATCAAGTAAAGGTCCAGGCTAGACGGAGGATACCCGGCGGAAGGCGCATAATCAAGTATGTACTGATACCGGGGGTCTTTTGTAACGAATGCCGCCCGAGAATCTTCATCAGAATAGTCTGCTTCCCCGCTACCCATGGCTGAGAAATAGTCGTATGGCATAGGTGCACTCGTCTGAAAGCCGTCTGCGTCACATTTACGGCCTTGTAACCATCTGGTTTTCAGAGAGGTATCCGGTGACTCCGGGCTGCCCAAAGTAACCTCGTAATTGTGATAATTAACTGTTACAAATTTATCACGATCAGCTCGGCCTACAAGCTCCGCAAAGCCTAAGGCATGGCCAAACTGTTTGGTTATTTGCCATTTGTCGCAGACTGGTCCAACTATTAGCATCTGGTTGCCCTTTCGCACTGGGAATAGATTACCTACTGAGGAAGCACAATGATTCTTACCATCATTCGTTAAGCATATGGCGCCGTGAGAGACTCGTCTTACACATCCGCTGTCGGTCATCCTGGTGAACTTGAGGCATGTGTGATCGGTCCAGGATTTAATTGACTCTGGCACCAAATTTCCCTGTTGGATTCTGTTTTTGGTGTCAAAATAGTAGAAAACCTCGGCATTTCCGTGGCCGTCTATCCAGAGCTGCTTCGTGGCGACTGCAATTGTCGGACTGCGCTCCATTGCGTGAGCCAGCTCCGGTAATACCATCGCAGCTGGATAGAGGATGTCTCCAAGTCGGGCCCATGGCACACCACCCGGGTTTTCGACAACAGCATAGCCATGCTTTCTCAACAGATAGGATATTTCTGCGTTAGTAAAATTTATGAACGACCCAAAGAGAGACTTTGTAGTTTCACTGCCGGATAGGGTTACGAATCCCTTCAATAAAGATATTATGTAAACTATCTGAATTAAGTATTGAAACAGAGACAAAGTCATAGTTTGAAAAATGGTTGGAAGTAGTTTTGGTCGTTTTGGTTGGAAGAGAAAGTTAGAGTAGTACCTTTTACAGGTAAAATGATAATCCTTGATCTTACGTCACCTGCATTACTTGATTGGCACTCCCACAGAAGAAAAGTTTCTATGTAAGTACCTATGTACCCCACTCAGATAAGTACAGGGGTGATGCAACGCGCCAAAGCAGTCAAGTTTATTCCCTTTTGTTTCAGGAAGTACATACCGTCCTCTGGTACTACAAATCGTCCTGGCTGCCCTCGCTTCATGCTTCCTCTGGCTGCATGACGGCTGAAGGCTGTCATCTCACCCACGCGATAAAGCCGAGGGCAACAAAGCACGATGGAGCGGGTGACGTCTTCGACTCGGACAAGGCTATCTGAGGCGATCGAAGAAGTCCGTTTTAGAGCTGTAGAGAGAGGGCGTGGGACAGCCGTCTGCTGCCCGGATCAGCTTGCCTTCGATGGAGGCTCGCAAAGTTACAGTAGAAAGTAGAAAACTGGACACGCTCTGTATGTACTGCATGCTGTACATATATGGATCGGATGTCAGTTGCTGTAAGGTGGGGATTGATGCGGGTCTGTCAGTGGGACGATGTACAAGTGTACGCGTTCCCTCGATACTTCTCAACTGAATCAATATTGTGAGCTTGTTTGTGTGAACCATGTTTGTGTACTTTGGCTGTCGGTGTTGCTTCAGGGAGGGTTCGTTGTATGTCATGTGAACGGCGCCTAATGTTATTGGTGCCCTTGAAACTCGTTCGTAATGATCTCATCACTGTATAGTGGGGCATAGTGGGGCAGTCTCGCTTTGCATTGCATAGTGGGGCAAATGCCGGGTCTATGGAGGCGTTGTGAGAAACGAACTGGACCAGACGAATCGCTTCAAATCGAATCGAAATGCTGAGTTGGCAAGACGAAGAGTCCTGACGGCAGTGAGATATCTCGCCTAGTTTCAAGTCTATGAACCTTGGTCATAAGAGCATAAGAGGCATTTGGGACTCGTGATGGAAGTGTGAGCTCAGGAGTGCGTGTGTGTGTGTGTTCAATGAGTTTTGATGGTCTGGGCGATATACCTAAAGGACGTGGGTGTGTGCAAGTTCGTCCTGATTTAAATGTTTTGTGTATGTAATATTATGGAATTTCAATGCATACATTTTGTGAAGTGAGTTATATTGGCTTTATATTGAAGTAGTGCAATTATATTGAAGCTGTTGTTGCTAACTATACGTCATCAAAACCCGTTAGTTTTCGGCATCAATAACTAATTGAATTAATTTATGTTCTAGGGCTTCAAATCTTGCCAATTTTTTCTCATGGTGTTTTGATTGAAGCATTATTTTTGCGATGTACCGGCGGAACGGCGTGGGTTCGCCAGCAGCAGGGCTGAAATTCACAGCTGTGGAGACCCGGCGAGCTGAACGGTTCGCCGATTTCTCGGGCGATATCGATGTCTTTGTGGAATCGGGGATAAGCACCACACAGCACATCAGGGACGGGACGACAAATGGGCCTCACAAAGCCCGGCAGGAGTGCGTCATGCGCGCTGCTCGCTTCGATTGATCGTCGAAGATCGTCATAGAAATATCAGTTGCGAAAATAATCACCAAAGGCTATACCTTGGAAGCAAGCTTACGTCAGACGACAATCGGCCTACGTGGCTCACGGACATGTGAGGCGTAATTTCTGTATCAGCCTTTGTGTCCCGACCGAAAAGGCGACGACCAATTTCGCTCGCCACAACTGAAGAGGATGGTAAAATATAGGTCATGCACTAGCTCCCCACCTGTTGCTAACTATGCAATATCGTACGTTCCATGGTAGTGGCTGCTAACTAGTCAATTATTTAACGATCTGCAGTTTGAATACATTTGACAGTGGACGATCACACTGCCACGGCTCCACGGCTCCAGTTTTATTCGCAGCGAAATGCGCAGAGACGCGGTTCAATTAGAATTCATTGAACACGCTTCTGCCGCTCTCAGTCCAACGCCGGATCTCGTGCTGTAATCGTACGCTGAAGTAAAGTGAACAACTTGTGCAATCGGCTGATGGAAAGGTGTTCGAGGCAGTGACTGCCAGTCTGTATGAGGATGTTTTGGGGCACTGACTGTCAGTGTCAAGGTGTTTCACAGGCCAAAGACGCCCAATATGGAGATTTGAAGCGCACCTGTCGATCAGAGCCGGGAATCTGATTTATACATACATACTTAGCCTATCCCCGACGTCGGTTGCTGTGAGGCAAGCTATATCGAACAGTAAACAGGTGGCATAGGGTGGCTATTGACGAAGCACCGTGGTCGGACCACAAATCATAGCCTATACAATAAAAGCTATAGGAACGCATAAATTTAATCGTCAGTCAACTTCATTTTCATTTTCAAAATGATTACTGCAGTTATGAGCCAGCATTTTAGGAACCATCACCACTTAACTCTGAACCTTCTGACTGTAAGTGCATCGCCCCGCTTTCTGTTGGCCAGCGAGACAGATAAGCGGGTGTGATACCTATGACAATGCCAGGTTCTGATAGATTGTAGAGACTGGGAACGCCTCAATCACTGCCTCTGTTGTTTTGCAATCAGTCAACAATTTGCACTCCTCAGCTCCCTAGGAAGTAAACAAGTTGAGACGCAGGTGTGCCAAACTCAAGTCCATTTGGCTCTGTTACGTTGAAAGCGTTCTAATTGGTTTTGGTGATGGCCAGAAGGATGACAATAAGGATGATGGCCAGAAGGATGATAATATTGAAGGATGACAATATGCCAGGACAAAAAGCCCTTGGCACTCTGCAATATCGTATGTTACTTTGGTCGTATATCGTATACAACCAAAGATCACGGTTCGTGCCATGAGAAGATTCAAGGTAGTCAAATCTGCTCTGCTTATGTATGTTAGAATGCCTTCGCTATGGCAGGGCCGATAACGCTGAAACCAGTTACCGATATTTGCAACTATTTGTGGGATTACGTGACAAAAGATCGTAAGACAAAAGATCGTATGGAAAAAGCTCGTAGGAAAATGATCGTAAGATAAGATCGTATGTTGTAAAAGATCGTACGACAAAAGATCGTAAGCAAAAGATCGTAAAGTAATTGATCGTATGAAAAAGATCGTAGGAAAATGATCGTAAAAGAAAATGATCGTATGTTGTAAAAGATCGTACGACTTAAGATCGTAAGCAAAAGATCGTAAAGCAAAGGATCGTATGAAAAAGATCGTTGGAAAATGACCGTAAGATAAATATCGTATGTTGCAAAAGATCGTACGACCTAAGATCGTAAGCAAAATATCGTTAAGTATGAAAAATCTGTCTTTTTCGCTGATCGTATGAAAAAGACCGTAGGAAAATGATCATAAGAAAAAGATCGTATGTTGTCAAAGATCGTACGACAAAATATCGTAACGTTACGTTCGTAAAGTAAATAATCGTATAGAATAGTGTTGTAGGTAAATGATTGTAGCATAAAGCCCGTTAGTCGCATAATATTCTACGAAAAACCGTCATGTGCATGTACTGCTGTGACCTGTGGGGTGCCCCTCGAAGGCATTGATAAATCAATAACAATCCTGTAGGGGTTGTTTCAAGATTTGCATTTTGCAATCTTGGTTGCGAAATATCGACAACATTTTAGGAGCAAAAGGTGGTGCCGCAGCCTTTTGCTTTTCAGCCCCCACCCCCTCCCCTACCGAGCGCCGCGAGTGGAATTGCGAGGGACACCACAGGTCTAACAGAGGCACCACAGGCCTGGCAAGGGCATCATCAGCCTCGCAGGGACACATTGGGACTGTCAGGTGCACCACGTGCCAGTTGGGGGCACTTTAGGCTTGTCACGGGCACCACAGTCCTGTCAGGCTGTCAGAGCCCAAGGGCACCAGCGGCCTAGAAGGGGCACCACAGGCCTGCCAGGGGCACCACCACAGGCCTGTAACAGAGGTACCACCGGCCTTGCAAGGGCACAATGGGCCTGCCAGGGACACCACCAGCCTCTCGTTGGCACTTCAAGCTTGTCAGGAACACTAAAGGCCTGCCAGGACCCATGTGCAAAAAAAAATACTGAAAATAGGGCAACACCTAAATGAAGTGGTCGAAACCAAAATTCGAGATCCGTTGAGGTTTTTATTTCGGGTATAGGTAGAGGCACCACTTCGATTCACGACCCTCCCCACGGAGTTTTCCTGGATACGCCCATACATGCGTGCGTGTGCAGTATGCACCTGTGGGCTTTGGGGTGCCCCTTTGGGGGTGCAGAACCATTATTAGGGATGCAAAAATGATATACACATCCACACTCATGTGCTAGAGCCTCAAAGAAAGGAACAGGACAGCTGAGTCCTTTCTGTCAATGCGGAACTTTAAGCATCAGCTATTAGCCATCGCTCTGAAATAACATCAATGTATGGTCGAGCTTACGACGCCACTTACTACGCGAACGCAGAAATTGATAAGCTTTGTATGCGCTGCAGTTGGGCTGCACCATGTGAATACCATATTTTGACTGTACGATCTTTATCTCATACGATCATTTTGCGTACGATCATTTACCTCGACGATCTTTTGCGAATACGATCTTTCGTCCATACGAACATTATACTGTACGATCCTTATCCCATACGATCCTTTGGCATACGATCATTTTCCTTGACGATCTTTTGTGAATACGATCTTTTGTCCATACGAGCATTGTGTCATACGATCTTTATCCATTACGACTTTTTGGCATACGATCATTTTCCTTGACGATCTTTAGCGAATACGATCTTTTGTCCACACGAGCATTATGCCGTACGATCTTTATCAATTACGATCTTTTGCATGCGATCAACTTCCTACGATCTTCTGCCATACGATCTTCTGCTTTACGATCTTTTGTCCGGTTACCGCCGGCCGGGCCCGCGACCTGACAGCCTGATGGGGTGGACAGGAGCTGAACTACAGCCTGCTGTAGGTGTCGCGACAGTAGCAGTGGTACCCGACCAGCTGCTGCTGGAGTGCCCCGAGGCGGTCGATGTAGCGAGAAAACGAACCGTCGGAAAATAAGGCACAACACAGCGAGCGTTGTTAGCGAGGCTTTGGCTGTCCACCATTAAACGGATCTCAACCTGAGCGCTGTTTGCATCGATTATCTCAGATTTTCTCAGATTCTCAGATTTATTTGTGCATTACCTCATTCAGAGTATTTTCACACATCGCTAGAAGATCTCAACTATCAACTCCCGCAATTGCTCGAAATGAATGCAATTTGCAATTTATATTGCATTGAACAAGTGTACCTAAGTGTTTAGCACTTATAGATTACAAAATACCTACATGTGTTGGTGTTCCAGCTGCGAGAAAACACTACCTGCAGTATTTGATGCACTGAATAAATTATGAAAGGAAATAGTCCTTATACGGGAAGCAGATGCCTAATCAAATCTCAGCTGAATCTTGACAAATGGTAAATTTATCCATCGCCCGTATTGGTGTTTTTCCAGCCGGTGACGTACAGGGGGGGGGGGTCCATTGGATCCCCTTGTCCTTTCGCCCCGGATCGAGCTTGAGCTTCGCAGAAAAAACGAGCGTGTTGCCCGTGACGAGGGAAAGCCGATGATACCTAATTTTAAGGTCCTAGGTCATTGGTTGACCTTCCAGGTCCGGTCAATGACCCAAAAATAGGAAAAATCGGGACTTGTTAGAACGTCGCAAAGCGTGGCTCATATGGGGTTTTTCGGGGCGCCGATCACCAATATCATGTTAGTTTCTGATCACTGATGATGACTCATGCATTTAGGCCAGGTTGGGCCACGACAGGTCAGGTCAACCAGTAGGGGTCCTGCCGAGTATTCGTAGTAGGTGTCAACCGCCTCTGACAGCTTCGTAACATGTTACGAAGACACCAAAACTACTTCGTAAATGTTCATATGGTTGCTAAATTCGAATTCAGCTCCAAAAAAACTAGCATAGAAACATGTAAAACTCGAAAAAGTGAAACGGGGTCATCAAAGGTCAATGACCTGACCTTCGGGTGACCTTGACACCCACCCTAATGCATGGTGGCAACATCATATCACATGTTTGAACGTTTGAAACCACGAAAAGACCGCAAAAGCGCGGCTAATGCGAGCCGACATACGCCGAATCGCGATTCCGGCCAAACATGGTCTCGAAAAGTAGGTCACAG